CAAACTCAGAAGGAAAAAGTTAAGATAAAATGTGGTGATTTACACAGCACTGGTAGTGGGAAAAGTAATTTTGTACTTGAGCTGAGCTGGGGAAAGATACCAAGAGTAGCAGTAATATGTGAGCTGAGCCCTGAATAAAGAAGGTAGGATTGTGACAGGTGGGTTATAAATGGAGGTGGGGTTTCATTTCAAAACGAAGGAACAGTGAAGCTGGCTGCGTTTGGAACAAAAGTAGTTCCATTTGGCTAGAATATTGGGGAGTACAAGTAAATAAGTTGAGACTAGTTTGTGTCAGGTCTTAAATGTCTGGCAGAGGTGTTTGGACTTAATTCAGTAGACAGTGGGGAGCCACTGACGTTTTCTGAGTAATATGATCTGAACTATGCTTTTGAAAGATTAATTTGGTAGCATTGTCAGTAGTGAATGAATGAGAAAATGAAAGTATTTTCCACTGTTGGATCACTTTTTTTCTGTGTAAATATAACTAAAACAAATGTTAGCCTAATTTAGCTACCAGATAATGGTAAGAATCTTTATTAACAAATAAGTAAGAAAAATATGTATTTGTGTTCTCATATTCAAGTAATCTTTTAAAACTGTTTGAGGTCCCATTTACCTGCTGGCTTCTAGCAGATGTTTGCATTTAGACTCTTCTTCAGTGAGTTACAACCACAGATTAATCTTCCAAAAATGTGGATCTGGATGTTACACTGCTCAGAAAGCCTTTAATGCTGTTTGTTTCCTTTTGACTGCTGAATGAAGTTCAGATTTCATAACCCAGCAGTCCAGGCCCTTCCTCATTCATGTCTCCTACCACTCCCTGACTACTTTATACACGATGTTCTTAAGATTCCTTGTGATTTCCACTTTGTTGTCTCATTTACTCTAGTTCTTGTGACCCTTATAGTCTTAAAATGCCAGAGAAGGGAAAAGCAGATTGAGATTCTGAGAACTTAAGTAACTAGGTCCTATCTAGCTGAGCTGGGATGAAAACTCTTTCATTTGTTCAACAGGTTCTTTTATACTTTCTGTATACCAGACACTGTGCCAAATCATAGAACTATAATAATAAGTGAAACAGAAGTGGTCCCTGCTCTTTATTGCCTACAGTCTAGACACAAACATTAGCCACTAGCAATAATTAAGTCACTGTAATAATTACAACCTGGGGTGAATGTTATTAAGGAAAAGTACTTTGGGGTACTTTGAGAGAATATTATGGGAATAAGAATTGAAGCTAATTTAGAGTGGCATGTTAAGAAAGGTCTTTTGGAGGTAGTGAATTTTAAGCTGAGAATTGAAATACGAGAGCATATAGGGCAAGGCAGAAAGCAGTATGCGCCAAGTCCCCCAAGTAGAAAAGAATTTTGAGTATTAGATGACCTGAAAGGCCAATGTGGCCAAAATGAATTTTGATTACTGAGGAGTAAGATGAAGCTAGAGGAGTTAGATAAGAACCAGATTATATGCAGCCTTGCAGACCATATTGGGTTTTGCATTTTATATAAAGTGTATTGGTAAGAAAAAAAGTAGTAATAGAGAGGTTTTAAACTAGAGAGTGGCACAACTCAATATATGTTTTAAAAATATTAATGATATATCCAAAATCTGACCAGTTCTCATCATCTCCAGTATCCCTACCTGGGTTTAAATCTCATATGAATACTAACTGGTCTCTGCTTCCACCCTTGCAGCCCTACAGCCTATTTTTGACATCATTACTGTTTATTTATGGTTGTCTTCTCTAGAAATTCTAGAGGTTTCTCCTTTAATTCAGTGTAAAGTAGAGGTATGTGCCGACCTCAGGGCCTTTATACTGTGTCTGAATTGCTGCTTTTTTTTTTTTTAAGCTACATTTCCATATGCTTCACTTCCTAACCTCCTTCAGGTCTTCATACAGCTCACAAGTCCATCTCTGGTCAATATATTTAAGACCAGACCCCCTCTGCCTGTCTTTCCCTTTCTTTTTCATGAAAGCACTTACTGCCTTCTCACCCAACATTTTATTCTTAAGTTTCACAAGATGAAGAATTCATCCATGATGCACACCTATAACTTGGGAGGCAGAGACAGAAGGATCACAAATTGGAGACCAGGAGGCACTGTGTAGTGAGACCCTATCTCAGAAAACCCCAGGAGGGATTGGCAATATTGCCCAGTGGTAGAGCCTTGCCTTACGGGTGCAAGGTACTGCAAAAACAAACAATCCCCTAAAACAAACCAAAAAAAGAAAAGAATTTTGTAAGAGTTTTATGCACTGATGTATGCTTAGTACAAAGAGTGCTGCATTCAGTAAATATTAGTTGAGTGAATGAATGACTTGGTGGAGTCTACAGTAGAAGATGAGAAAACAGTGAAAAGGCTCTGAGCCTAGAGGAGAGGTGAATGGTGGTGGAGATGAAGGTTGTGAAAAATGTAGAGCAGCAACAGATTTAAGATATGTTTTGGAGCCGGGCATGGTGGTGCATGCCTGTAATCCAGCTATATGAGAGGTGAAGGTAGCTGGTCTGAGGCCAGCTAGGGCAAATTAGTATGAGACCATATATAAAAAATAAACTAAAAGCAAAAGGACTCAAGTAGAGCCATGCTGTTAAGTATTTATAGCTATTTGAGTATTTGTGTACTTTTTTTTTTTTTCCTTCTGGTTCTACTGGGGTTTGTACTTGGGGCTTCACATTTACTAGGCAGGCAGTCTACCACTTGAGGCACGCCTCCAACCCTTTTTTGCTCTGGTTATTTTTGAGATAGCATTTCACTTTTGTCTGGGCTAGCCTGACTGCAATCCTCTTATTTATGCTTCCCACAGTAACCTGGATGACAGGTGCACCCCACTGTACCCAGCTATTGGTTGAGATGGGGACTCACAAACTTTATGCCCAGGCTGGCCTCATACTTTCATCCTCCTGATCTCTGCCTACTGAGTAGCTAGCTTTACAGGCATGAGCCACCAATGCCTGTCGTATAAGTGTGTGTGTGTATTGCTGGCGATTGAACTCAGAGCCTCACACAGACTAGGTAAGAACTCTACCAATTTGTATAGTTTTAGAACAGAACTTGTGAGGCAGTGAATACAGTTGTGAAATATATGTGGATAGTTCACTTAAGTATTCTATGGTCATGGTTTTCAACTGGGCATGATTTTGTTCATCCCACCCCTCACCTCCCCCTGGGATTGCCTGACATGTAGTGCTTAGAGGCCTGATACGCTACTGCAATGCACAGGTCAGCCCACTCTCCTTTCCCCAAGGGACTCATTTGGCCTAAAATGTCATTATTGCCACGGTTCAAGAAACCCTGCCTTAAGAATTAAAACTCAGACTTTATCTTAAGTCAATGTTAGACTATAAAATAATAATTGAGCCGGTATGGTGGTTCAGTCATAGCTACTTGGGGTGGATGTTAGGAGGATTGTGGTACAAGACCCCGTCTCAACCAATGGTTGCATGTATTGGTGTGCATCTGTCCTTCTAGCTGTGCAGGGAAGCACAAAGCAGCCAGACCAGGCTAGGCATAAAGCAAGTCCTCCTCTCAAAAATGACCACACATAAAGGGCTGCAGCATGGCTCCAGCACAAGACTGAGTTCAGTCCCCAGTACCACAAGAAAAAGTAGTCTAGAAGTAATGCTTTCTTTCTGACAAAATCTTTTTTATCAGTAAATATTGGGAATAACTATGTCATATTCTCAAGCTCAGAAAAAGTATGTGTAGGCGTTCTAGAATGATTTAGCAATTGTCAGATATTTAAGATTGTTGCTAGAATTGGGTAAATACACTGGGAACTTACTATGGCTTAACTTGGAGAGTGATTTGGTAATACTAAATTTTAGAATGCTTGTATCCTTTCACTTTAGGAATTCTATCTCTAGTTACTTGTTTACAGAGCATATATACCAGTAAAGAAAGATACACAAACAGTACTATTTTTTTGAAGCTTTGTTTGTAAAGAAAAGATAGAAATAATCTAATACCCATCAAGGACATACTGATCACAAATCATTAGTACATCCTTAAAGAAAGAATACTATATACTCTACCAAATAATTGAGAGATTTGTGTACTGATATAAATGGAGGTATAAAATACATTAAATGGGGGAGGAAAATGAAGTTGTACAAAAATAAACCCACAAAAGTTATTTGCTGTCTTAATTTTTTCTTTTTTTTTTAAATTCTTGACCCCAAAGTGAAAATGTCACAGTTTAATGTGTCTTCAAATCGAAAGCTTTGAAATGTATTGTAGAATGCCTATCTGTATTCATCCTGTAGGTGGTGCTGGTGATTTTGTGCCATTCTTTAATGCTCTTTGTCACTTCAGTAAAATTCCAATAAGCTGGGAAATCATTTAATTACTGGTCCTGCTTGTAGAATGCTTATCTTTTAAGTTTTATGTAAGACAATCAGTGTTTTCTTATTATTATTTCAAGAAATACATATAGCAGGAAAAAAAATCTATGCCAAATTCTTACTACATAATTCATTTTTGTGCCTTATTTATCTGCTTTATTACTTGGTCCAATCTCTGGAAAAACTGAATTTATTTTAACACTGAATTATACTTTCTAACTCTTTAAAATTGCAAAATTTCATCAAAACTGGCAGAACTAATTTTTTCCAATGGGTTCTCTTTTAAGTCTTTCCTTTTCCCTTTTCTTTGTATGCCTTACTCCCCCTCTCTTCTCCCTTTCTTTCTCTCAGTCTGTCAAGTTCAAGAGTAGCTCAGATGCCATGAATTAAGTGAAGCACAAAGGGGGGAAAAGGAGACCCTTTTGAAGAACAAAGGCCTCCCATTAGTCTGCCATGTTCTTTTTTGACCAAAAGTGCACCCTACATGGTTCCTATTGTTGTCCACATGCCCTACACATAAGGTAAATACAGTAGATCCTCATTACCTCACGCAACCCCCCCCTCCTCCTATGCCACACACAACCAGTGAAGCTTTAGGTCTTTGATGTCTTTAGACATTCTCATACAGTTGCTTTATCTCCTTTTTAAAAACTACAGGGGGAAAACTGGAAGTGGAAAGCAGTGGACACCAAGGAAAACCCCACAAGAAGGGAAAATTAGCTGTTAGGGATGCTGTAATGTAAGAATCCAGGGCAGGTGGAAGGAACCAAAGACTTTACTGCTGTTATTCTACTCTGTGCCTTTTAATGTTCTATGTTTGTAAAATAGTACTGATTTACATTCATGATAGATTTATTACTTTCTCCTCTTTTTGTCCATAAAACAAAACAGGCAAATGGGAATAAATTTACTTGCTTAGAGCAATTAGGTTAGTCAGAGACCACCTTAGTTTCCACAAAGATGTGGTACCTGAGGGCTGGAGGTTTGGACCGTGGTTTTATGTACTTATTTTTATTCTTTGTAATAAATTGTATAGTCAGTAAGTGGCTTGTGGTTTAGGGTTGGGGGGGTGGCAAAAAAGATGGAAAGAGAAAGAGAGAAGGAATTTCTTTTTAGCTTTATTTTTAAACCAAAACTTTTATTTTAATATAGAAAGGAGCAAGAGTTTTTCTTCTGACAAGTTATGCTTTCTTTTTATCTAATATTGAACTAATGGTGGGCAATTTTTGACTTAATGTTCAGTGAACATCTTGAACTCTTCCTGAGTTACGGATTTCCTCATTTAGGATTAAAGGGATAATTCAGTGGGATTAAAAAGAACATTAAAGAGTTAAATAATTCTTTCATAGTAGCAGTAATATTTTACTTAAAAATTTCATGGTTTTTAGAAAATACTTATACTTTTATTCCCCACATGGCATTCAAACTAAAAATATCTGTCATATTCAGTTTTTTTGTGTGTGTGTCCTTAAGATTTCTTTTAACATTAAAACTTGCTAATGCACTTGAAAAGGAAGAAAAAACGATATTTTAACTAATTGAGGAGATGCTTAGACCTTTCATACACCTGGATGTTGCTTTTCAGGAATCATTCCTTGGTTTCATGTTTTTGGGGGTACAATAGTCAGCAGTAATCCTTTGGTTTATATACTTGGCAGCAAATAAAAAGTAAAGAGCTCCTTGCCTTGGATTGTGTAGGAAATCACCATTTCTGTTGTCTGTACAGAATGTTCTAACGATGTAGCCCAGGAGTCTCAGAGGAGAGTGAGAGAGACTACAGTTCTATTTTTGCTTGTGCCTCTGGTCACACACTGGATTGTTTCCTGTTTTTGTTCCTTGGATTGGTATCTGACTTCAGGAGAAATCACTTCACAGTCACCACAGGTTACTGAACTCTGGCACTATTATGCTGAATTCACTGGAATAGTTTTATTATGAGGGCATTTAAACACCTATTTGTGGATGGGAAGAGACAGAGAGTGAAATCTCTCTCATTCTTTATTGAATACTCCATCTCCTTCCAAGAACATAATTCTGCTTTTACCACAGTGCTTTTTACTAACTACCTACTGTTTGTCTGTGTTAATCTGAAAGGTCTCCTGCACCAGAGACCACACATTTATACAGTTCTCACATAGTCACTTTTGTGAAATAAGCGATGAGACATTTTCCAAGTTTGTGTAACTTTCCAAGTTAGTATTGTTTTTAACGTATTTCAAATGTTATTCTATAAATTAAATGTAAACTTACTGTTTTAATTATTTAAATAATTTAACATTTTAGAACCATGTGGCTTTAAATTTAGATATGTTGTCTTTAGAACATTATCCTAATAATAATATCATAACCTAATAATAGTGATCCTAGTAGAAAAAGTTGATAATTTAAAAATAATAAAAGTAGAAATGAATGCCTAACTGGGAAGAGAAGCAATTTAGAGCAATAGACCAACCTTTAACATTTTTTTTTAAAAAATTTATTGTTGGGCTGGGTGGGGGTACATTGTGGCATTTACAGAAGTTTTTGCAATATATCATATGTATCATAGTTGATTTCACCCTTCCATCATTCGCCTTTATCCTCCCTTCCTCATTCCTGGAATAGTTTCAGTAGTTACCATTTTTCCATTTACATACATGTGTACATAGTATTTGCACTATATTCACCCTCCCAAGTGCTTTTCCCACATCCTTCCCCTCCCACCTGTACCCGCCCCCCGCCCCTGCAGGACCTATTCTGCTCCTGTTCTCCAATTTTATAAAAGAAAAAAAAATGATATTTTTGGTTTTTTTTTTTTAAGATAGCTACACAGGGAGTTTTCTTGTGATATTTCCATATATATATAAAATATGGCTTGAATTGGTTCATCTCCCCTATTTTTCTTCTTTCTACTTAGTCCCCTTTTTATGGTGATTTCAACAGATTTAAAAATTCAGTATTCATTCTTGTATAGGAAGTACATCAACCATATTCACCTTCTTAACTTCCTTCTTTTACCTTCCCTCTCTTGTAAGTGGCCTTCCCTTAGTGTGACCTGTATTCATAATATTGCTGTTTTTGTATTAGGAATAGACCGACTCTTCCTGAGTTTCCTTAGAAGCCATTTGAAAAGTTAAATGTATTCGTAACTAAAACCTGCCCTCTCTAATTGCCAGGACCTCACAGGAGGCTCAGTGTTTAGAATTAAAGTTAAATGATGTCTGAAAGAGATAGGGCATGGTAATATTGGTCAAAGCCATACTTACTAAAAGATTGAACATGAAAAGATTTGGAGCTTTATAGTAGTTAAAGGAAGTAGGATTTATAAGAAGTTGATATGGGTGACTTTTTTATCTGACATAGATAGATTTGATTTCAAAACATTTGAGCTGTGTCCTGGGGAGAGGGATGTACAAGGAGAGAAAGAATCTGATAAAGTGGGGATTTCAGGAAGTTTCTGTGGAAGAAGACTTAGAAGTGGGAATGAAGAAAATACATTAGTGAAATATCAAGAAAGAGAATACTTTTATAGACATTTGTAAATTTTTATTTCCACAAACTGAGGAAACCACAAGGTAGGCAATAGTGGTCCTCAAGCCAATCTGACGTGCTTTCCCATGAGCAAGGATTTTATTTATTTATATATTTAGGCAGTACTGGGGTTTGAACTCGGGGCCTCACATTTGTTAGGCAGGCGCTCTACCACTTGAGACACTTCTCAGGCTCTTTTTTGTGTTGGGTATTTTAGAGATAGGTTCGTGAGCTATTTGCCTGGGCTGGCCTTGAACCAAGATCCTCCTGATCGCTGTCTCCCAAGTAGCTAACCTTATAGGCATGAGCTACCAGCACTCGGCAAGTTCTACTTTTATATGGGGAAAAAGTGAGAAGCAACATAGTATTTCATGACATATTAAAATTATATGAGATTGAAATGTCAGTATTGATAAACTTATTGGTACATAAGTACACTCGTTTGTTTATGTAGCATCAATGTAACATCTGTGGTTGCTTTTGTACTGCAATAGCAGTGTTGAGTAGTTGTGACAGACCGCGCGCATGGTCCATAAAGACTAAAATGTTTATTTACTTTGTGGCCCTTTGCAGAAGTTTGCTAACCACATAAATAAAGGATTGTCCTTAGTACTTTGAATAAGTAGTATGGAGTTTTTCTAAAACTAGGAGTTTTTGCCAGTAATAAATTTGTTGTCTACAGTCTTATATTTCCTTATTAGGAATAAATGCTTTTACATAGTGAGTTATTTTATTATTTCTGCAAAATGCCAACGTAGTAAATATTGCTTTCTTTTTTTTTTTTTGCTTGATAATATTATTATATTCCCTCTGGAAGGGGGGAGTATTTTTCCCCCCTTTAGAGTCAGGATCTTGTTATGTAGCCCAGGCTGGCCTTGAATTCACTGTCTTCCTGTCTTAGCCTCCTGAGTGCTGGGATTACAGTTGTCCACTACTAAGTCTGGCTTTGAGATACATTGTTAACGCTGGCTCTTTCAAGTATATCCATACTCATTAGGATTTTGAAAAAATTAAGCAATATTCAGAATTCCTGAATATTCCTGCTCTAAGAACTTTGTTGTTTTCTCTTCCAAAGCATGGGAGGTTTCAATATTTGAACATCAGAAGAGCTGTTTGCTGCTGTTTGGAAAGGTTTGAGGACTATGTTTATACAGGCACATTTTGCCCCATTTGAGCCAAGTAAATTGAGATGGGCAGTCAGTCTTTCTTCAAAGCATTAGGACTTCTGAAATTATAAATTGGACATTTTAAGATGTACTAAGTGATCACATGCTACACTTATACTTAAACATTGATTTTCCTTTTCTTGGTCTCAGGGCCAATAACTTCAGTCCTTCCCCTATTATGCTTAGCAGAAATATGACAGTTGTTGGGATTAACTGGGAGTTCTCTGTATCAAAACTTAGGATAACCTTTGTTATGAGTTATTGATTTGCTTAGTTGGAGGAAGTAGTGTATGGATAAGCATTTGAACTTCCGTTCCATTTTTCTGTCTTCCTTTCCTCCGATTAGCCTCACATGCTTAAGACAGTAAAAACAAGAGATTTAAAAATGTTAGAATGAAGGAAATTAATGGGTTTGACAGAGGTAGAAAAATCATATTTAAGAATAAATTTTAATTTCCTCATCTTCTTTTCCTTCTAAATAATCTGAGCCTGAACCAGAAGCATGTTGTTTCTGATTAATTTCTGTGTGAAGAAGCAAAGATGTATTACTCCTAATTCATTCTGAATGACCAACCACCAGCTGCTAACTAAAAATGTGAATCCCTGCCCCTTAACTAGGCTTTCTTGTTCCTTTTCATCTACAAGTAGTAATAGGCTAATAATTTCCTTTACTTCATTGTTGTTCTTTTACTGCTATTGTAAGATTTATTCTGTGCAGAAATATTAAAGCCACTTTATATCAGTTTGTTACCCTCAATGATTAGAGCAGTAATCTCTAGTATAGATTTTGCTATTCAATGCTTTTGTCTGTAACCCCTGCTGCCACTCCCCGCCCCCCGCCCCCCCCCCCCATTGTTTTATCTAAAGTTGGAGGAGTTTTGTTTTAGTGTATGTGGGTAGAGAATAAAACTATCAGGAATCTATATGACTATAAAACTAATAAGGGAAATCATCTTGATTATTTTAGGTAATTCCTTTCTTCTCCTGGCTCTTTGAATGTTACCTGGAACTTACCTTTTAGGATAAATTGCTGTAGGAAGTATGGGAATATTCAGGAGACAGATTTCATTCAGGAAGTTGCCCATTCATATTATTTTACTGTCCTTGTTTTTAGATAACTTTGCTTTGTATGTGGTCTGTTTTCTGCCCTACAAACCAGAAATTACCTACTACTATGAATTTTAACACTGTTAATATCTTTCTTACTTCTCTGTGGACTCAACTGTCTTACCAAAAGGATTGAGAATTATAGTAGTTTGATTGTTGCTTGTTCATATATTCAGTTGTCTAGACAAACCATGAATTATGGTAAAATCATTCTTTCTTATGAATCCAGTTCTTGTAAAAATTCTTGTCACTTTTCATTAATGCTAGCATCCCTACCCCAAAATCCCTGCAATCCTCATGTTTTCCTTTACAGTCCTTTTTTCTTTTCCACTTCTGTCATTGTCTTTTTAAAGATACTTTTCTAGATCATGCAAATACTGAGGTTTGCAGCTGAAGAATTGCAGCTCATGAGCTCCAGGGCTAATCTTTCTTAGTCACATAAATGTAGTAATTATTAATGGTAGAAGAACTGTGATGAGGCCACCATACAGCAGACATT